AGAAGTAGTGGATCATGGTGACGAATGAGCAATTGAGAGAGAGAGAGAGAGAGAGAGAGAGAGAGAGAGAGAGAGAGAGAGAAAAGAATTAATTAGAAAGTGTCACAGCCTTGATGCTAGTGACTTAATCATATTTTAATTAAGATGTTAAGTGTATTCCAATAAACAAAACAAACCCATCACCATCTCATAAATAAAAAAACTATATCTAAGAACCAAGTCCATGAAATGAGCACATAATTAAACCTTAAGCCCCATGTGAAAGGCATCAATGAATGCCTCGAATCTGGCATGGCTTTGCCCTGTTTCTCTGCTTTCTCACAAGCCCTATATTTCCGGTTCGAGGCTGCTGTTTGTTGAGAGAGTGAGACCCATCTTCTTATTCTCCAGGGAAGACCAACAGAGCTTCACATGTGGATGTGGGGTTTCTTAATTCATAAATTTAAAAAAGCATAGATAGATAGATAGAGAGTTGATGATGAGCAGTTAATTTAATTAATTATTATATTAAACTTTTTTTTTTAAATTAGGGGACTAATTAATTAGCTTGCAAACGACAAATTAAGGCAGCCACGTGATGGATGGAAATTTGCTGTAAGGAATCTTTCTGGTCATGCATCCCGTCAACTGCTTAATTGGAATAATTAACATTAATTAATTAAGCAGTAATCAACTACTAGTTTGTTAGCATTGCGTCAACAACACCCTCCTAATCAATTTCTCACTAATTAATCCCTACGCTTTTGAGCTTAATGACCACAAACGAATTCTAGTAGGTATAGGTTTGTATAGATAACTAGCCTTGCATTGAGAAATGGTACATGTATATATATATATATATATATATATATAGTGTTGAAATCCAAATCCAACCAATGAATATATCCATAAATTACGATATCCCAATTCGAAATCTACTTAGAAGAGAACAACTCGGTCTTCAAATCTTAGTTACGAAGGTTTTAATGTAATTTAATTATATGGAACCATATTTATTACTTGTAAATTAATCATATTAAGACAGATTAATAAATACTCTGACCTATATATAGCTAGATAATAGTAACCCAATATAAATATTCTAATTTGTTCGTGAGTAGTTTTTGTTTTTGTTTTGTTTTTTTCGGTTGGAGTAGATAGAGCATCCTATAAGAATACAGAAAAAATGGCAAGAAAATCATTTGAAACGCAAATGTGAAACTCTAATGCATGCAAAGACCTAATTTTATTGCACATGCATGGAATGGATTAATAATTTACAAGCTAGTTAGGCAAAGTTGTTGGCCAAAAGGTAATATACTTGATGTGCAATTAACATACATATATATATATATATATATATATATATTTGTCAAATAGTAGGTCTAACTTTCCCAGAATCTTTTTTGGTAAATTAAACTCATCTCCTAGAATTCAGTTCCTAAGTGACTGATGAAAGTGGCAAATGTTGTCTACAGGAATTCTGATAAAGTCATATTTCATATATATATATATATGTATGTATATATAGTGCATGATTTTAGTACGAGAAGTAACTTGGAAATTGAACTATATGATATTTTAATCTAGTGTGTGTTTGATTTTAACTTGATTTAATAGGGTTAGAGAGATAGATTTGTCTTGTTCATCAGTGTACGGATTGATCAACTGAATAATGAAAACAAAACTTAATTATAATTAAGATAACTTTGAGAGGGTGTTTTCTTAACTTTTAAATTTCCATAGTTTATAATTTCGTAACAACTAAAAGTGCTTTCTTTTGATTATCTTTGATTAGCCAGTTGACAATCCTAAAAGATTTACAGTCTCAGTCTCAGACACATATCAAATCTGTGTGTATTTTAAATATATATATATATATATATATATATATATATATACCTAATGGGTAATGCTACATGTCTTTTTATAATTTCTTCTGGTGTAATCTATGTTGGACTAGTACTGCTTTTGTGTATATGGATCATAGAAATTCTGCAATGTTTGTGAAGTGGAGTTTTTAAATCGGGGAAAACAAATCAAAATTGTACAGATTTAATTGGATAAATAACATTATCCATATGTCTCATCAGTTATATATAAAATCAAAACCAATATGATTTTACAAGTGTGTTTTATTTCCTAAGCAACAATTGTTTACAGATTGGTGTTCTGGAAAAGATGGATAGAGCTAGCTCAATCATCATATCTAATTAATTGGACCCACTGATTTATATGTGTAAACGGATTATATATATATTAATTAGGCTTGCATGGATAGTTTTATCTCATGTTTATATGACCATGGAAGTTCTAACTTCTAACTAGCTAGTTTTTTACTAGCCGCCAATTTAAAGTGATTAATTAAGAGTCTTGCATAAAATAAAATCTATTTGTACTTTTTTGAGAAAAAAAGAAAAGAAAAAAAGTTTAAACTACTAGGGGTAGGGTTGAAGAACCAACCCATACATTATTGATTTATTCCCGAAAATCCTAGTTCCCTCTCTCCCAAAAAACACTCTAGAGCCGTTTTACTTTAAGGCGGGAGGAAGCCACTGCTCTTCCTCCCCTTCCCCTCCCCTCTTCCTCTCCTCTCCCTTTCTCCCTTCCTCAATTCTCCTCTCTTTCCCTATTTTTAGAGACAAAATGTTTCCCCTATTTGTCTTCATTTTTTGAAATGGTTTTCCTCCACTCATCACATGTAGATGCGTCTTGGTGTTGAATCTCCATGTGCGTTTCGGTGTCGAATCTCTACCACCATCCTACATGTTTGGAATAAGTCGTAAATACTTTTTAGGTTTTTTGTGTAGTTTTCACCTATCATTTTGTGGGAGTTTTCACCTTTCTTTTGTGAGAGTTTTATTTGTATTATTATGGTTTGATTTTTTCAAGCTTTATCTATGTTGGTTGTTCTGAGTTTGCAATCTTAGCTAGGATGCCTATGCCAGAGTTTCTTTGATCATACGTGATAGTTAGTGGTGGCACGCCAAATTGTCTTAATTTTGATGTTATATTGCTCCGTTATTGTAATGACCATTTGCTGCTAGTGGATTTTTTGGCTGAATTATGAATGCAATCTCATAATTTCTCAACAACCCAAAAAAAAATACAAGGGGGAGGGGGCGGAGCCATGTAGGAACTAGAGTAGTCCCAGGACATCCCCCCCGCCCCCCTTTCTCTCTCAATATGTTTACCCTTTTTTTTCCCTCCTCTTTCACTTTGTCTTTTATTGAACTTAAGCTTTGTGAAATTTTTTTCTTCCATTTTTACATGTCTGAGTAGGGTAACTTAACATTGGATTTTTTTATTTTTTGTATTTTTTGTATTTCTTCTTTCTATTGGAATATAAATTATTAACTTTTGAGTCATTAAAAGTATAGACTATGAGATTAATATTCAACCGTTTTAAATATGAAATTCTTGATAATTATGATTGTAATGAATGGATAAATTATTAACAATATAAAATGATATTATGAAGTGGGCTAAACCGAGTAGTTGGTATTGTATTTACTTATTAACCAGTTAGTGCTTGAGCGCTCTTATTCAATTATTTTTTAATGTTTTGTGAAGAGCCCTCTCTAATGTGAACTCTTGGCTCCGCCATTAAAGGGGGTCTTCACACACACTACTAGGGTGTTATGCATGTTTGAATATGAGATTACTATAGCGTACAAGTCAAGACCCTCTTTCACTGGACTAGACCCCATTAACCTATTTATACCTTTTAAATACTTAGAATTGATAGGAAACCTAATGAGGATATTTCTTATGACAAAAATTCATACATAGATTTTTGCAATAACGATCTTACAAATAGTCATGAAAACTGAGATGACCCATCATGTATATCACTCACTCATTCACTCGTGTAATATATCAACAAATTCACATAAAAATCATATTTGTGTTAATATGTAACATGATAAATTGCAGGATTTTTCCTTACCTCTTTGTATTTCTTAGGAAAAGATCTGTTAGTGGTGGTTTTTCTGCCAACTAGTTAGTGGTGTTTGATAGTATAAAAATATTCTTCAGATGGGCTACTCTGGAAATGCTGCCCTCATGGCCCTGCCTAAATCAATAAATGCCACATAATGGGCCTTCTCTTAGTTATTGGCACATAGTGGGCCCATAGCAGGCCATGCAATGAGTCCATGAAGTGTTTTTTTTGTTTCATAGTTTCCCATGGTGATGATTAATGAAGAGCTCTCTGTTAATAAATTCAAGCATCGATTTTTCTACGGTACATTCACATACTCAATATGAATACCCTATTTTAAATTATCACCACTCAATAGGTCATGATGACTCAATGTGTATGATATTTCCATGTTCGTATGAGATGATCAATTCTATACATGTTATCTTTCAACTAGATTATAAAATAGAATTGTATAATGTGTGTGTGTATATGCTCAATCATAGAGAGATGATTTTAGCAAAACTCCACCAGAAAACAAAATCATAAAAATAGACCGCAGTGACTGCTCATTAGGATTAAGGTTGATAATTTATAGGCTTATGCATGGGGAACAAGTGGAAAGCAAAGTAATGCATGCTCACAATAAAGAAATGTTGGGAAAGATGACGAAAAAATCAAAAAAGAGCCAATAAATAAATATGGCACTTCCAGCCTTGTGTAAATAAAATGGGCAAAATTAACACTCTATCTTCCACTAAGAAAAATAATGAGAATACAATAATAATCTCACCAAACATCGATGGCTAAACTCTCTCTTGGTTTTTCTCTCTCACACAAGTAAGGCTTTCTTATTTCTCAAAACTGTCTAAGTTTTGGTTTTCTAAGGGATGCATTGAACTGAAAGAAGGCAACTGCTTTTATAGCCAACATTCCTAACTAATTGGTGGCCATGCATGAGGGAAAGTTTTTCTCATTTTCTCTTCCATTCGTTTTCTTCAAATTTTCTCGTCATTTCTTTCATTTTATTTAATATTTATTTTCCTTCTTTTTCGCTCCTCCACTAACGAGGGAAACCCATCAATCTCCCCCTCCCGACTTAGGTGGAGGGCTCCAGCAGTCCAGCTGCTCTTCTGCAAAATTCGTACTTGTCCTTAGGTAAGGACTTGGTCATCATATTTGAACTATTGTCATCAGTATGGATTTTCTCAAGTTGTAATTGCTTAGACTCCAACACATCACGTATCCAGTGATATCGCACATCAATGTGCTTCGACCTCGAGTGAAAACTCGAATTCTTGCTCAAATGGATCGCACTATGACTATCACAATGCAAAATGTATTTATGCTGCTCTTGCCCTAATTCTTGTAGGAATCGCTTCATCCAAAGCATTTCTTTGCACGCTTTAGTAGCTGCAATTAACTCTGCCTCTGTAGTTGATAGAGCAACACATTTCTGTAACTTTGATTACCACGAAACTGCTCCCCTAAAAATGTAATCAGGTATCCTGAAGTAGATTTTCTGGAATCAAGATCTCCTGCCATGTATGCATCTGTGTAGCCAATCAATGCAGGTTTTCCACCTCCAAAGCACAAACTCATTTTGGAAGTACCCCTGAGATATATGAGAATCCACTTCACAGCATTCCAATGCTCTCTGCCTGGTTTAGACAGGAATTTGCTTACAACACCAACTGCGTGCGTTATGTCTGGCCTCGTGCAAATCATTGCATACATCAAACTACCGACAGCTGAGGAATATGGCACCATAGCCATGTTTTCTTTTTCTTTCTCACATGTAGGACTCTGTTTTGAACTAAGCTTGAAATGACTAGGAAATGGAGTAGAAACTGGTTTTCCTTTATCCATGTTACACCGCTTTAATACCTTCTCGATATAACTTTCTAGTGATAACCTTAACTTCCGATTTTTTCTTTCACGGGATATGCTCATACCGAGGATTCGTTTTGCGGGTCCTAAGTCTTTCATAGCAAAAGACTTGCTCAACTCTTTCTTCAGCTTGCTAATCTTGTCACTGTTTTATCCTACGATCAACATGTCATCGACATAAAGAAGAAGTATGATGAATTCACCATCATCAAATCTTTTCACAAATACACAATGGTCTGAAGTTGTCCTCTGATATCTGTGTTCAATCATGAAGGAATCAAACTTCTTGTACCATTGTCGAGGTGCCTGCTTGAGTCCATATAAGCTCTTCTTCAGCCGACATACCAAATCTTCTTTTCCTTTGACTTTGAATCCTTCTGGCTGCTCCATGTAGATTTCTTCTTCAAGATCTCCGTGAAGAAAAGCTGTCTTCACATCTAGCTGTTCGATCTCAAGATTCAAGCTTGTAGCCAAACCGAGTACAACCCGTATGGATGACATCTTCACTACATGTGAGAAAATCTCTTCAAAGTCAATTCCTTTCTTCTGACTGAAACCTTTCACAACTAGCCTTGCCTTAAACCTGGGCTTAGAGTTGTTTTCTTCCGTCTTCAGTCAATATACCCATTTGTTCTTGAGTGCTCTTCTACCTTTTGGTAGGTTCACCAGATCATATGTGTGGTTCTCATGTAGAGATTGCATCTCTTCATGCATGGCTTTCAACCACTCATCTTGTTGATCATGAGTCAATGCTTCTTTATAGCATTCTAGTTCTCCCCCGTCTATTAGGAGAACATAATCATCTGGAGAATACCTACTCGGAGGTCTTCGTACCCTGGTCGATCTTCTTGGTTGGAATTTGGCCGCTGGCTCTTCATGGGCTTGTGCTTCTAGCCCCTCATCAGCTACATCATATACTATACCATCAATTGTATGATCATCACTCATGTCATCATCAACTGGTTCATTTATAATAGGATCACTAGCTGGATCATTAGTATCATTGGATTCATCTCGCTCATCATTGTGCTCTAATAGAGGAGGAACTGGATCCAAGTTAGTTGGATATTCTCTAGGATTATCAAGTTTATCACATCTTTGAATGTATTCAATATTCTAATCTTCAAAGAAGACAACATCTCTACTTCTAATAATCTTTCTAGCTACAGGATCCTATAACCTAGAACTGAATTCTTCATTCTCATATCCCACGAAGATACATTCTTTCGACTTCGCGTCGAACTTGGATCTCTTGTCTTTAGGAATATGAACAAAATCTCTACAACCAAAAACTTTCAAATGATTGTAGGAAACATCTTTTTTCGACCAGAACTTGTTCGGGACATCACCATTCAGAGGTGCTGAAGGAGAAAGGTTGATTAGATCAACTGCAGTCATCAGGGCTTCACCCCAAAAACTTTTGGGTAGCTTGGCATGAGATAACATTGTTCTTATTCTTTCAACAATTGTTCCATTCATTCTCTCAGCTATATGCCATTATGCTGAGGAGTCTTCGGAACAAATTGTTCATGCCTGATTCCATAACTTCTACAGTAGTTTCTAAACGCCCCCATATATTCTCCTCCGTTATCGGTGCAAATACATTTCAAGCTTCTACTAGTCTCTCATTCAATGCTAGCATGAAACTGCTTGAAAACTTCATATACTTGATCTTTTGTTCTAAGTGTGTAAGCCCATACCTTCCTAGAATGATCGTTAATGAAGGTGACAAAATATCTTGCACCACCAAGAGTACTAGTGGTCATAGGACCACAAACATCAGAGTACAAAACATCTAATACATTGGGTTTTCTTTGTGCATGACCATGTTGAAATGAACCTCTATGTTGTTTTCCAGCCAAGCAATGCGTGCATGATTTTAGAGGCATGCCTTTCTTCATCCCAGCCAGTGCCTCTCTTTTGGCTAGAATTTGCAGCCCTTTCTTGCTCATGTGACCGAGTCGTTTATGCCATAGCTTGATTGAGTCTTCTGCGAGAGCATTTACGTTTGTCATGTGTCATGTATAGGGTGTTCTCCTTCTTCCCTCGTGCTAGGACAAGAGAGTTCTTGCTGAGTTTCCATTTCCCTTCAGCAAAGACATTGGTGTATCCTTCATCGTCAAGTAATCCAGTGGAGATGAGATTGAGACGCATGTCTGGAACATGTCTCACATCCTTGAGGACCAAGTGACAACTTGTGTTGGTTTCAAGGGAAATATCTCCTCTTCCCATGATTTTGGACAATTTGTCATTTCCCATCCTCACATTACCAAAATCTCCATTGGTGTAAGATGTAAAGAAGTCCCTCCATGAGGTGACATGAAATGATGCACTAGAATCCACTATCCAACATTTATCTTGAGAGGAAAAATTAACGAAGCCGTCACCACATAGAATAATTACTTCATTTCCACCAGAGGCAGTTGCGGTCATGCGCCTGGCATCACTCTTTTCATTACCTATATCTTGCTATCGTTTAAACGACCTGCACTCTCTCTTCATGTGACCTATCTCGCCACAATGGTAACATTCTAGGTCATTTCTTGTCTTGGACCTTCCTCTCGAGCCATCTTTTGACCTGCCTTTTGACTTGTCTCGCATGTAAAATTTTCTATTGTTGGTTCTTCCACGATACTCTAAGACGAGGGCTTCTGACTCCACTACTACACCTTGTTCTTTCCTCCTTGCTTCTTAATTGAACATGCTATCTTTAACTATGTCCAATGTAAGAACACCTTGAGGAGCTAAATTGCTTAAGGATACTACTAGTGTATCCCAGCTATCAGGCAAAAAGCTGAGTAACACTAGTGCTTGTAACTCATTATCAAGCACCATCTTCATATTCGTCAATAGGTTGATCAAACCATGGAAGTCATTGAGATGCTCGGTAACACTTCGACCATCTCTGTACTTAAGGTTTACCAACCGTTGGATAACCGATGCTTTATTTTGAGTGGTCTTCCGCTCGTACATGGACGACAATTTTGTCCATAATTTGTATGCATCCGTCTCTTGTTCCACATGGTGGAACACACTTTGATCCACATATTGTCAGATTTGTCCAACAACTTTTCTATTCAAAATGCTTCATGCATCGTCTGACTTCCCTTCTGGTTTTGTCCAAGCAATTGAAAGAGCTCATACAAATCCTTGCAGTATAGGATGTCCTCCATTCTTGGCTTCCAAATGGAGT